TCTTGAACTTTGATGAATCCATCAAACTGAGAAACTAAGATCAGTTAATCTATAACTGACTTTATAGTTTCAAGATCACTATCTTCTGTTAAAGCAAAGAAACAACACCTAGCAGGAGGATAAACATCTTCATTCCATGACCCCCAAGGAAGGTAATTGGCAAAGAACTTCAGTGGCCACCATTACAGCATGTGTAGATTATTGACTCTCCTTTCAAAGAAAATACAATCCAAAACTGATAAGGGCATTTGACTTAATTGAAACTCCCATTAGGCCATTGTAATCACTTTCAACCTGCCAGAGACCAGGGAAAAGTTCATCTTAATCTTTGGGTTCCTTTTCCTAGCATTTCTCTTTGAAAAAATAACAGGATGTCACAAACTACTCTTCCTAGAGAAAAGTGATGATAAAATGAATATCTACTTTTGAGTTTCAGTTCCTCGGACTCTGGAGGAGCCTGGCAATGTAGAAGAGCATCATACATTTTCTCAATGTGTCCTTCCTCACTGGAACCCCAACCAAATACAGGCATCAGAAATTGTTGGGGTCTTTATTCCCTGTGGTGCTTATTGACTCAGCTAAATCACTAGCAAGTTAGTGCCCTCATAAAAGTTTTTTTGTGGAGCACTTTCCTCACTTGAGGTCTTAGAATTTCTTTTATATTAATCTTTTATATTTAAAAGGCATCAGATGCCAATAGGAGAATTCAGCAACAGGTTGAGTGCAGTGGCTCATGCCTGTAATCCCAGTGCTCTGGAAGGCCAAGTCCAGAGGATCTCTTTAGCTCAAGAGTTCCAGGAGGTAATGAGCTGGGATTGTGCCACTGTACTCCAGCCTGGGTGACAGAGCAAGACTCTGTCTCTAAAATAAATAAACAAAAAACAAATAAGAATCCAGCAACAATCTTTCACCTATTCCTAGATCATGGAAAGAGGAATCATTTGATTGCTGTCCCAGATAGTATACTTATTACTCTATATTAGTGATGCTTCCCAGGTATTTGTATTAGTAAAGCTAGGGTAACTACTGGAACAAGTAGTCATGAATTTTTTATATATTAACAGAATAAAAATGTGTTTCTTGTTTCTATTGCAGTTCAATGCAGGTTGGTGGAATGGGAGGTTGGGAGCTCTCTGCCCCACATAGTCAATCAGGAACTCAGGATTCTTCCATTCTGTTGTTCCAACATCCTCTAAGTCCAGGGGTTGGCAAACTTTTTCTGTAAAGGGCCATAGAGTAAATATTTTAAACTTTGTGGGCCATATGGTCGCTGTCACAACTATTAACTCTGCATTGTAGCAGAAAAGCAGCCATAAACAACATGTAAATGAGTGGGTATGGTTCTGTTCCAATAAAACTTTGTTTACAAAAACAAGCAGCAGGTCTGACTTGGCTCATGGCCCATAGTTGCCAGCCCCTGCCCTTGAACCTTGTCCTTCTCTGCATTCAGCCAGTGGGAAGAGAAAGAGGGAGCACCATGGAAGATGCACATGTAGAATTAATGCCTATCCCCACAGAATCGTCATGAGGAATATATTAAACAATGTTTGTAAAGAGCCTCGTGCAAAGGTCAGGAGATAGGAGCTCTTCAATAAATGGCAACTGTCATCATTTAAAAATAATAAAGTACCTTTGATATTTACAGGAAGAAGTGGTCAAGTTTAATTGAGAGATATCAGGAAAGGTCACAGTTGATTCTCAAAGCTAGAAAAGGATTATAACAAACAGAAGTGAGCAGACACCATGAGCAAATGTGTGGCAGCAGGAAAGCATTGTCAGCGGAGTATGTGCATTAGTTCAGTATGGCCATAACACTGGGCTATGTGGAGGAATTGAGAGAGATAAGTCTGGAAGGGTAAAAATGTCTCAAATACCAGCTTTATTTTTTTTAATTTTTAATTTAATTTAATTTTTTATTTTTATTTTTATTTTTTTTTTTTGAGTTGGAGTCTCACTCTGTCGCCCAGACTAGAGTGCAGTGGCCACTCCCGGCCACCGCAGCCTCAACCTGCTGGGCTCCGGCGATCCTTCCGCCTCAGTCTGCCAAGTAGCTGAAACTACAGGTACGTGTTACCACGCTCGGCTAATTTTTTGATTTTATTGTAGAGATGAGGTCTCGCCAAGTTGCCCAGGCGGTCTCGAACCCTCAGGCTCAGGCAATCCACTCACCTCAGCCTCCCAAAGCGCGGAATTACAGGCTGAGCCACCGAACCCGGCTTAATTTTTAATTTTAAAGATGTGGGGTACAATTCAGGGTTAGGTATACAAATGTTCATTATGCAGATGCCCTTGTTGAGGAGGTGTGCCCCCTCCCCAGCAGATTCCCACTACTGCCAATCCTTTTTTTATAGTATTACAAGAATTGTTCAAGGTCCACTTATGAGTGAGAATATGTGATACTTAGTTCTTTGTGATAGATTCAGTATTATAGACTCTAAGTCCATCCAAGTTGCTGTGAATTTCCTGTGTTTGTCCTTCTTTATAATTTCTGTGTAATATTCCATCGTGTATATGTACCACATTTTTTTATGATGGGCAGCATGGTTGCGAATATACCCAGAGGAACTCAAATCGCTCTATGAAAAAGATACCTGTACATGTATGTTTATTGCAGCATTGTTCACAACAGCAAATACCAGCTTTAAAGTTCAGATGGGCTCGGCATGGTGGTTCACATCTGTAATCCCAGCACTTTGGGAGGCAGAGGCAAAAGGATTGCCTGAGTCCACAGATTCGAGACCAGCCTGGGCAACATGACAAGGCTTCGTCTCTGCAATAAATTAAAAAATTAGCTGGGCATGGTGATGCACACCTGTGTTCCAGCTACTTGGAAGGCTGAAGTAGAAGGATCACCTGAGCCCAGAAGGTCGAGGCTGCAGTAGCTGTAAGCATGCCACTGCACTCCAGCCTGGGCAACAGAGTGAGACTCCAACTAAAAATAAATAAATAAATTAATTAATTAATTAAATAAAGTTAAGATGATCAGTGGCAATGGGGAATCATTTAAGGTTGTCAAGAGGTATATACACAAGTCTTGCCTTCCAAAATCTGTTTATAAATTCGTTGTTTGAAATATAGACCATATTTTCTAACACAGTGGGAGTTAAACTCCCAGATTGGCCCACAGAAGTCTGCTTCCCAGATGATTATAACCTTTAAGTATCTACAAAGGATAATTTTTTTACTCAACCAACATCTCAATCAACATTCCCAGGAAATTATTCAGCTATAGAGCTTGTAAATGTTGCTCTGATTATCATTGTCTTAATCTAAAATGAGCTTTTATAGGAAATATTTCTGGGCTAACATGTACAGAAACATATAGCTAACTATCAAAATTCCTGGAAGGGTGTGCCATGGTAAAATGCAGACTCTATTTTTTGCCAACTCATTTGGATACTGAGAAATGATTTGCATAAGGTGGAATTGTAAAGTCAGAAGCATATTTAACTAGGCCTTCCTTTCTAGGTCTTTTAAAAAAGTACTATTTATCCCTAACTGATGCAAACCCATTGGGCTTATTTGTCAGAGCCCAACTGTGTTGAAAACTTGACTTTGGCTGCTTTTTGCACAGAAATCCCTACTTCCACGTGCTGTTGGAGAAATCTAATATTCAAGAGTGTTCTACCTATATTGCGTTTGTTTGGAAAGCCTCAGAATCATGGAATCCAAGACCAGTGCCTCATTCTCACATCTTATGTGTACAGTCATTTATCCATCCATTTATTCCACATTTATTTCTGAGCTCCTGCTGTGCCAGACTCTGTACTGTTGCCAGAGAGAGCAGAAGTAATCCATGAGAGTCAGACCTGAAACAAGTGTTCACATTATAATATTGCAATCTATTTTAGAGGTGTATGTTCAGATCAAAGTGGTACATAGAAAAAGAAGCACCTAAAACTGTCTATGGGATCAGAAAAAGCTTTTCCTAAAAAATAATTTCTGAGCTGAGACATTAAAAATAATAGAAGCAGGCCGGATGCAGTGGCTCACGCCTATAATTCCAGCACTTTGGGAGGTTGAAGTGAGCCCATGGGTTCAAGATCAGCCTGGGCAATTTGGTGAGACCTCACCTCTACAAAAAATTAAAAATTAGCCAGTCATTGTGTCGCATGCCTGTAATTCCAGCTACTTGAAAGGCTGATGTGGAAGGATCACCTGAGCCCAGTATATCAAGGTTGTGGTGGTCATGAGCGTGCCAATGCACTCCGACCTGGGTGACAGAGGGAGACCCCCAACTCAATAAATAAATAAATAATAGATACTGACCATTGCCTTACTAGATTCTGGTGTGGCCATGTACTCTTTGATCTATGGCTGTCGCTATGTTTCCTGGCTTTGGCCCCCTTCTTTACCTTGGGGAGGTGAATCTCCTCTCTCTCTCTCTCTCTCTCTCTCTCTCTCTCTCTCTCTCTGCTTTCTAAATAAACTATATTTTCTAATCTAAAAAAAAAAAATAGAAACTTTGGAATGAATAAGAGGACAGCATCTCAGGTTAAGAAACCAGCAAATATCAAAAGCATGAAATTATGAAGTGTTGTGTATATTCAATGAATGTTGCAGAGGGGATGGAGAGATAGGTGGATGGATGGAATGGATGGATAGATGAATGGATGGATAAACAGAAGTGAAGAAATCTTCTTTGGAGGTTGTGTATTGTCCAAGATTCCCTCCTACCCAAAACTAAGCCAACCCTCCTCCCTTTCAGATTTCCAGTGTAGCTTGAAGTTTGATTTCAACTTTATCTGCGGTTTCCTCAGAAAATATTTAGCTTTTCTCACTCCATTAAGTTAGAACTTAAAAATCCTAATATTGAGGGATTTTCATCTTAATGCTCACTTAAACCAAATGTTACCACAACATATGTGGGCCCGGTTTTGAGTTGGGTACTGGAGAGAAATTTCAATAAGATGTGATCTGGGCCACCGATAAATTATCATCTCACTGGAGAATCAAGAGTTATACTCAAGAAATAAATCAGGAGCTTTGGTACGAGAGGGATGGCGGCAGCTTCAGCAAGTCGAGGAGTCGTGGTGACCCTGGGCCTATGTGAGATTCACATTCATTTAAGCCAGTGCTCACCCACCAGCCAGGGCATCAGGGACTTCACTGAGAAACATTATGTGGAGTTGAAGAAGGTGAATCCCAATCCGCCCATCCTAATTCACGAATGCTGGGACGTGCAGCTCAAGCTCTGGTCCCACTACACATTTAGTCAAGAGAAGAACGTCTCTTTGAACAACTTCAATGCCGATCAGGTAACCAGAACCCTGGAAAATATTCTAGGTGGCAAAGCCTGAAGTGTTCACTGAGGGCCAGAGCAATAGCCTTAGCTGGACGCGGTGGCTCATGCCTGTAATCCCAACACTTTGGTAGGCAGAAGCAAGAGGATTACCTGAGCTCGGGGTCTAAGACCAGCTTGAGCAACTTGGAAAGACCTTATCTCTACAATAAATCAACAAATTAGCTGGGTGTGGTGGCACATGCCTGTTGTTCCAGCTACTTGGAAGGCTGAGGTAGAAAGATCACCTGAGTCTAGCAGGTCGAGGCTGCGGTGGCCGTGAGCACACCACTGCACTCTAGCCTGGGAGACAGAGTGAGACTCCGACTCAAAAAAAAAAAAAAAGCAACAGCCCTAGAACCTGGGCTCTGCTGGACTTAGTAGAATGTGGAAAAATATTTTTTCCCATTCCTGTGAAACTTCTGCTGTAAAATGGGAGGAAAAAAATCAGAACAAAGTCAGAAAGTACCAAATTGTACAATTTGGACTCAAAGTTGTACAAGAATTTGGGTTGTTCAGTCATTAATACAGACAGAAGTTCCAATGTTCTAGTCTCTCACAGACAATTCTCTAAAACACTTTGGGGAGATAGAATTTTTTGAGCTGACTGATAGAGTTTGAATGTGATCAACCTGGAGAATTCCAGTTTCCTCCTTTCTGTGACTGTATACTTGATCTGGCAGACTATTTGCTTTTTTCCTTTTTCTTTCTCCATCACCATCACTCTCTTCTCTCCCAATTGTTTGTTTCATACTAAGAATTACAATGAAAGTGTAAATTGAGTGAGATTTTGAAAGTCAGTCCCAAGAGACAGACATGGGAAGTCTAAGGATGACAAATCAAGAAGCAGGGTTTCCAGGAGCAAAGAGCCTCATTTCTTCACTTGAAGTTGGGACATAGTCCTCTGTCTGCCAGATTAGTGTTCCTTTACCTTCTCTGCATCTCCTGACTCTCTTTACAAGACCATCAAAAGGTATCCTCTCATAAAGGTCCTTTGATATTAATTTTGTGTAATCCTAGATCTGCCCAATGTTTAAAACAGATTTACCACTCCACTGAAGTATCTTATAGTTAAATCTCTGTAGAGAAAGCTGAGACAATAGCCAACAAAAATCTTGCCCCAAATTTCTATGGATTGTAAATATATTAAAGATATCAGGTGTAAATATAAATATGTGAAAAAAGCTTATTTGTGACTAACAGCACTGGTGCTGAAATACTGAAAACTCTAAATATTTGGTATATTCTTGAACTCGACAATGTCTTTTCTAAGAATTTAATTATGGACAAATATGAGCATTCTAAGGATGCTCATCAAAGTTTTGTCATAGTAATTTAAAAAATTGGAGGCCAGGCACGTAATTTCAGCACTTTGAGAGGCTGAGATGGGTGGATCACTTGAGTCCAAGAGTTCAAGACCAGCCTGGGCAACATAGCAAGATCCTGTCTTTACAAAATAAAAAATAAGAAAACTAACTGGGCATGGTCGTTCATGCCTATAATCCCAGGTCCTAGGGAGACAGAGACAGAAGGATCACCTGAGCCCAGGAGGTCATGGTAGAGGTGAGCCATTATTGTGCCACCACATTCCAGCCTGGGCAACAGAGTGAGACTCTGACTTTAAAAAAAAAAAAAGAAAGAAAAAAATCGGAGCCAAACATATATCCATGTTGTGGAATACTATGCAAAAAAAAAAATAGTGCTATAAAAAATATTACAGAGAAGGGAAATATTCATAATGTATTAAATTTAAAAGTTGGTTTTAAATTAATACAAGCAGTATGAACTTATGTTAATAAGAAATAATTATAACTTCATAATATTCACATTCTTCTTCTCTCTACCGGTGAAGCAAATTCAGTCTTAGTCTGCTCAGGTTCTTCATGTGACTGCCACCATGACCACCAAGCTACCATCACCATCTCCTTCAATGACATCTTGCCTTGAAAGAAGGCAAGAATGTTCCTGTTTTCTCAGATAAATTCTTTCAGTTTTGTGAGGTGTAATAGGAATAATGAAGAGAAAACTGGAGCTAAAGAGGGAGAAAAAGGAGGAGGACTTCTACCTAAAGGATGACTGCAATACTTACCTGGTAGAGGAGATACCATGATCACAAAGGTGGTTCTCCCAAAGCGAGGCTTATCCATTGCACTCCAGATGTGCTGACCCCTGCGATTTCCCCAAATGTGGGAAACTCGACTGTATAAGTTGTGGTAGTAGGGGACTGTGTTCTCGCTCTCCCCTGGTTTTCATTGTTTAAAGATTAGGCGGTGGGGCACAGTGGCTCATGCCTATAATCTCAGCACTTTGGGAGGCTGAGGTAAGAGGATTGCCTAAGCCCACAGGGTTTAAGAACAGCCTGGGAACTTGGTGAGACCTTGTCTCTACAATAGATCAAAAAATTACCTGGGCATGGTGGCACATGCTTGTAGTTCCAGCTACTTGGAAGGCTGAGACAGAAGGATCCCCTGAGCCCAGCAGGTCGAGGCTGCTGTGGCCGGGAACGTGCCACTGCCCTCCAGTCTGGGTGACAGAGTCAGACTCCAACTCAAAAAATAAATAAATAAATAAAGGATGGCTACATCTACATAATAAAGTGCCACAATATGAGTACAGAGAGAAAGTATCTTGAGCCAGAGAAGAGGAAGCGTTTTCTAGGGGATATGGAACAGCATCAGGTATGAGGAAATGGGATAAAAGAGGAAGAGAGTCAAGAAACCTTATTATGGAAATGTACGTAAATCCTTTCATAGTTTTGGAGATGTAGCAATAGTGAATTTGAGTTATCTAAAGATTAATTTTGATTACTGGACCCCAAACTGTTGAGGATCTTGGATTCATTAGGTTTATATTTACATACACAACCACAGGAAATAAAAGAAAGCAGGTTTATTCACCAACATATTGATGTGATTTGGATGAGATTGTTTTATTCTTTTTACCTATCTATATTTTTAAAATATGTGTCTTCATATGTATGCATATATATAATTTTTTTTCATTTCAGACTCATATACTTCCAAGAAGTAGGCACCATGATGACATCTATTTTACAGATGAAGAAACAGACATAGAGAGGTTTGGCAGCTTGTCCAAAGTCATAAAAGTAGTATGACTGATCCTTAACACAGGTTGGGTCCACTTATATGTGGATTTTTTTCAATAAAAGTTACGTGGAATGTGCCTGCTTCTGTTTCCTCCCCTTCTATCTTCTCTACATCTTCCACTTCTGCCACCCCTGAAACAGCAAGACCAACCCTTCCTTCCTAATCCTCCTCCTCAACATACTCACCATGAAATTGACCAAAAAGAAGACCTTTAACATAATTCACTTCCACTTAATGAACAATAAATAATTTTTTCTTCCTTACAATTTTCTGAATGACATTTTCTTTTCTCTAGCCTATTTTATTGTAATAATACAGTATATACTACATATAACATATAAAATATGTTAATTGACTGTTAATGTTTTCAGTAAGGTTGTAGAATATTAGTAGTTAAGTCTTGGGAGAAGTCAAAAGTTATACATGAATTTTCGGCTGCATAGGAAGTCAGCTCCCAGCCCCCACATTGTTCAAGAGTCAATTATAGTTGTAGAATTAGTAAATAACCCCCAAGCAATCTAACTCCAGAACCAGTGATCCAAACACGTATGCAAACTGCATGGCTTCTTGTTTTTATTTTATAAATTTATTTTCAAATGAAATATTTTCCATTCTACAAAGTATGATAATGAGACTAAAATGATGAATGTGCAAGTACTTGTTATGTACCCTAATAAATCTCAAAGTCTCACCATAGTTTCTTCAGATATATAATATTTAAAGAAAAAGTGCAGATGTAGCTAAAATGTTTTATAATGAAGATTAATTAGAAGCAATAAAAGGTAAAATAAATAGATACATTTGTTCATGTCCCAGTGAAGTCTCTCCACCCCATAATCACTTTCCTAAGGAGTGTGGAAATGAGTCAAAGGGATTATGAAGTAGGTGGCTGTGTGGTATTTTTGGACCCTGACCTTCGTCCTACATCAGAAGAAACAGATTATACTGAATTTGATGTTTTTCATTTCCTTATATAAGCCTACACTATATGTAGACTCTCTTTAAATATAGTATTGTCTGACCTAATTTTAAGAATTAGGCCGTGTGCAGTGGCTCATTCCTGTAATCCCAGCACTTTGGGAGGTGGAGGCAAGAGGATTGTTTGAGTTCAGGGTTCAAGGCCTGGGCAACTTGGTGAGACCTCGTCTCTACAATAAATCAAAAAAATTAGCCAAGCATGGTGGCACATGCTTGTGTTTCCAGCTACTTGGAAGGCTGAGATGGAAGGATCAGGTAGAGGCTGCAGTGGCTGTGAGCATGCTACTGCACTCCAGCCTGGGGACAGAGTGAGACTTCCACTCAAAAAAAAAGGAGAAGGAATCAGTTAGTCATGATGATTTACACCTGCAGTCCTAGGTCCTTGGGAGGTGGAGGTGGGAGGACTGCCTGAGACCAGGAGTTCAAGACCAGTCTGGGAAACTTGGCAAGACCTCATTGCTACAATGAATCAAAAAGTAGCTGGGCATGGTGGCATGCACCTGTAGTTCCATCTACTTGGAAGGCTGTGGCAGAAGGATCGCCGGAGCCCAGCAGGTCGAGGCTGCAGTGGCTATGAGTCTGCCACTGCACTCCACCTTTGTGTAATTACTATAGCTAGGACTTCCAGTACTATCTTGAATAAAAGTAGTTCCAGATATTAGAGTAAAGGATTTAAGCTTTTCCCCATTCAGTATGATTTAAGCTGTGGATTTGTCATGTATGGCCTTTATTGTGTTAATGGAACATTCCTTGTATACCTAATTTGCTGTTCGTTTTTATTGTAAAGTCATGCTGAATTTTGTCAAATTCTCTTTCTATATCTATTGAAATGATCATATGTACTTTCTTCTGTTAATGTGCTGTATCACATTTATTGATTTGCTTATATTGAACCATCCTTGCATCCCTGGGATGGATTTATCTTGTACCCACT